TCAAACCCAAATCATTAATTACAGTGTAAAGTCCGTCCATCTATCTAATTAACAATTATTTTGCTTCGTATTTTGATTATATTCGTTGGTTGGTTGGTTGGTTGGTCGGTCGGTCGGTCGGTCGGTCGATTGATTGATTGATTGATTGATTGATTGATTGATTGATTGATGGATTGATGGATGGATGGATGGATGGATGGATGGATGATTGATTGATTGATTGATTGATTGATTGATTGATTGATTGATTGAAATAACAAATATGCATAATATGTTCCTCTCTTTTTATCTCCCTTTAAATTTTGACAAGATAGCGAACACATTAAAATCAAAGTCGTCACGGCGTCAACAAGCCAGAGTCGTCACGGTGTCAAGCCCGAACGGTTGTTTCAGCTTGTCACTCACTGCATCTGGCTTGTCGGTGTCGTCCTTGGTTTCAGAAGCAGTGTACAACATTGTATCTTTTTCGGAGACTTGTTGTTTCCGCGCATTGTCAACTTAACATTACGCATACACGTATATGGAAATGTAAAATTTACATTGCATGTACATGTTTCAAACCATGTGTCATGACTTATTTGTAAATTATATAATAATAATAATGATGTGCACGGAAACGATAACATTTTATTTGATAATAAAAGTAAGTGTACAATCGGCCCAAGAAACTGTCATTCAATGCAAAGAAATACTTTTATGTATACAGTTTTATTTGAGAATACTTTTCAAGACAATTAAACTGTATTAACCTTTATTGCCTGCTGATTATCGTTACATGAACAACTTAAAGGTAAGAATTATTACCAAAACAAGACTTTCATGATTTGGGTATCATTTTCCTTAGTCTATTTTATCAAAAATAATGACAGTTTGGAAAATAATTTAATCAGAACCCTCGTTGACTCTAACATATTTCAACTATGCATATTTTCTGAAAATATTTATCGTTTTATACCCAAATACTCGCCAAAATACCGGAAGTGCCCGTTCCAGGATACAGTAACGCCGGTTCAACGGCCTGCGTAACTCTGATGTGGTATTTCCCGTTCTTTTTATAGAACCACGCGCCCGAATATCAAATTGTGAAAAGTGGATACTATCTAATTATGAAAAATGAACAAACATTTTTGGAACCGATAGTATATTATTGTATAAAGAACATTGATATTTATCTAAAAAGTGTCCCGATTTGGGTAAAGTGACGTTAGATAACCTGTGTGCCGATAGCACATTGTGTACCGTGCCCACGAATGTCACCTGTAGTGTTACTCTCGAGGAGCGTATCCATGGAGATAATTCCACGGAAAATGATAATTAATTGGTTTCTTTTTTATTAAGTTTTTGTTCAATATTTATTAATATTCCAATGACAATTGAAACTGTTTAATTTTTATCAAGACAGGAAATACTTATACCGGCAAATACAACCCAGAATGAAACGTGTCAAGTCCATGTGTACGCAATAACATGTGGATATGCTCAACGAAACAGTCTAATATGGCAATTAATTAATATTGATATATATGTATGTATGTCGTGTTGTGTAGTGTAGTGTAGTGTAGTGTAGTGTAGTGTAGTGAGTGTAGTGTATGTAGCAGTGTGTAGTGTAGTGTAATGTATGTAGTGTAAGTGTATGTCACAGTGTGTAATGTATGTAGCAGTGTGTAGTGTAGTGTAGTGTAGTGTAGTGTAGTGTAGTGTAGTGTAAGTGTATGTCACAGTGTGTAGTGTAGTGTATGTCACAGTGTGTAGTGTAGTGTAGTGTAGTGTAGTGTAGTGTAGTGTAGGGGTATGTCACAGTGTGTAATGTATGTAGCAGTGTGTAAGGTATGTAACAGTGTGTAATGTACGTAACAGTGTGTAATGTATTTAACAGTGTGTAATTTACGTAACAGTGTGTAATGTACGTAACAGTGTGTAATGTCCGTAACAGTGTGTAATGTATTTAACAGTGTGTAATGTATGTAGCAATGTGTAATGGATGTAGCAATGTGTAATGTATGTAATAGTGCGTAATGTATGTAATAGTGTGTAATGTATGTTATAGTGTGTAATGTATGTAGCTATGTGTAATGTATGTAGCAATGTGTAATGTATCTAACAGTGTGTAATGTATGTAATAGTGTGTAATGGATGTAATAGTGTGTAATGTATGTAATAGTGTGTAATGTACATAACAGTGTGTAATGTATTTAACAGTGTGTAATGTATGTAGCAATGTGGAATGTATGTAACAGTGTGTAATGTATGTAGCAGTGTGTAGTGTAGTGTAGAGTAGTGTAGTGTAGTGTAGTGTAGTGTAGCGTCGTGTAGTGTAGTGTAGTGTAGGTGTATGTCCAAGTGTGTAATGTATGTAGCAGTGTGTAATATATGTAGCAGTGTGTAATGTATGTAGCAATGTGTAATGGATGTAGCAATGTGTAATGTATGTAGCAATGTGTAATGTCTGTAGCAGTGTGTAATGTATGTAGCAGTGTGTAATGTATGTAGCAGTGTGTAATGTATGTAGCAATGTGTAATGGATGTAGCAATGTGTAATGTATGTAGCAATGTGTAATGTATGTAATAGTGTGTAATGTATGTAATAGTGTGTAATGTATGTAACCGTGTATAATGTATGTAGCAGTGATAGTTGTATACTTGGGGATTTATCTACATACCTTCATGGTTAAAGCTACTGATCTGAAGCACTGATAGACTCAAATGGAACAGAACGTTAGTACCCTTTTCTGAAATATGCGCTGTAGGTGCAGGTCCAGCGAGCCAGGGGGAGAGTACAAGAGACAGGGGGGGGGGGGCATGGATCACATCTTTGATTACTGTTCATTATAGATTATAAAATATCAGCAGTGACAATAAACAACAACACTGGGGAAATATTGAAAAATAAAGCTGAAATTGGAACTGGCCCATAATCGGCCATAAAAAAGGCCTGTATATATCCATGCACATGTAATACTAATCACCTAATACAGAACTAAATTTATATACATCGCCTTTTGTCTTTATATCATATTGTCTTTACATGTTACAGCGCCTTTTGTCTTTATATCATGCTGTCTTTACAGTTTACAGCGCCTTTTGTCTTTATATCGTATTTTTTTTACAATTACAGCGCCTTTTGTCTTTCAAATTTCAAATGTTTAATTCACCAAAGGGTTATAATCGCCGTTAACTTTGCCCTTTTCTTTTAAATATATTATATCTGACTCAGGTAAGGATGACGATTCTTCCATCCATTCTAAAAATAAAATTGTCTTTTCTTGCAGTACGTATATACGATGGTCCGTTTCAGCCACAAGTTTACCAATCCAACAAAGACAATGTTACTACATAAATTTGTAATACGTTACACGGGGAGAGCGAAAGACACACCAAGTGATGTTTTTGGATCGCGTTTGAAAAAATACTATCTACACTTTTCGAGTATAGTAGTCTTGCTCTAGTCTTGCTCTAGTCCACTCCACACTCCACACTCCACTCCACTCCACGGTTCAATCTTATCAAAAGGAGGAACAAAAAAAAGACATTTATATGTAACATAAGTAGGTAGTTTTTCATCTAGTTATTTTCACACTCCTTCCGTCCGTATATCTTTAGTAACTTCCGTGCCTTTTATGGCATTGTTGGGATTGGACAAATACATGCTCACCGAACAATTCTGAAGGAAACATTTATGTCTGCCCTTTGTGTAAGAAAGCCCCAAGAATATTCGAATAACAGGCCAAGCGGGGACACACCTTACCTACAGCAGTATTTATGGTAGGTACTTTGATATTGCACAATTACTCTGTTGAACTAATATCACCTTGATGCGGAAGATCAGGCGCTCCTTTCAATTTACTGAATGTGTCATACATGTACTTTTCAGTTGAGTGAGTGGCATTTTTAGTGTTAAATGGAATTAGCATTCACTTAAATGTTTTTTACTGTAAGCGTTTATTATTGCGTACCTTGTATAAAGTTACGGTCGCCTATTTCCCGGTAGGGCAGTGGGCATGGGAAGCTGTTGGAAGCACTCTTTCATGTTACAAATGGTGTAGGGTGGTCCCTCGTTCGAATCCTGGTACTAAAAATGATAATGTATGCATCATGTTTTGCCTAGTTAAAATCGCTTCACAAGTATTACGACAGCGTATAAAACCCTCGTACATTATGACGTGCAATACATAAAATTAAACCAATTTATTCAAGATGATTCTATGCTACACACAAATACTTAAATAAAAAACATATCTACTGACAATGTTCAACCGATACTTGATTCTTGTTTATTCATAAAACAGTCACTTGGCGAACAGAGTGGGCCTGGCTTCTGTGTAAGTTTATATGTTGCTCACCATTCAAGAGTTTGGTTTGAACCATGTCATGTTGCATAAAAAAAAAGAGTAAGATACCCTTAATAAACTATTTGTTATAATTATCTTGTTTTTTATTAGTTAAATGTCCCAGTGTAATTACTGTTCCCCCCCCCCCCCCCCCCCCCCCCCCCCGTTAAACAGTGATGTTCATTGTATTTCCTGCAAATGTATTTGAAAACAGACTTATAAGTTCTTTAACTTATCAACATATGTGTTGTGTCGTGTCTACAACGGCCACTGACCATACAGACAGACAGCCAACACTGACCCTACAGACAGCCAACACTGATCATGGTTCTCTGACCCATTCAATTGCTGATGGGGTGTGGGATCAATAAGTGTTAGCTTAACAGAACATGTACCTCATTCTATCTATAAGCTAGGTACGTTACTTACTTTTAAATAATGTAATTTTAGCAATTTGTCTTATAACAAAACAATACACTAAAAAACTGTGGTAATTCAAAATTTATTTCATGTTCTAATTATGACCAACTATAATTACTTACTTATTTAAAATTTCCTTAATAGACACGCTTACGTTGACCCATTTTCATCCATATTGCTAGTGCCCCCTTAGGGAGCCCCACAGTGTTATGCGCATCAGCAATGCGCAGTAAATTCCATGTTTGTCTTCCGCTTTAAAACATGGAGGAAGCGATGTACTGAAGTCTACCAGGTAAACATGTATTCGTCCCTAATTTGGAAATCATGATTGTGTGTCGTACATGGCGTCATTAAACGGAGATATCCCAGGCCCGCCAAAAACAGCGGGTAGCTGGCTAGAATTTTGTGAGCGCCATGCTCTCTCAATTTCCGAACAATTTTACCGAGACTTCCTCTTGTTTATATCTCGGCCATCTAGCCCTGGGGTGGGGACGTATGGCCCCACCCCTCGCGATCCCATGGAATTTGCCAAAAAGTTTGTGGAATATTTTCTGAATCAATTTGATCGTCAGTTAAAGCGTTCGTCTTACTATCTGGATTCTCCGTCTACAGATGTGAAACTTGCATCCCGAAATAATGACGATTCCAACGGTGATCGTCGTCCATCTCTAGCAAGCTCCACACGCTCAAACTCCCAAAACGGAGGGGAAATTGACCGACCCCTCACTGACGATTATTCTGACAACGTAACAAGCGCGAGCCCGCCACCCCTCTCTCCTACATCTCCAAGTCCAGTTATCACGACACATAAATCAAAGGGATTCTTCAGAAGGTTGTCTTTCCGAAATATAAAAAAGAAAGGCTTGTTTCATAAAAGTAATAACAATAGTCCCAGGTCTGCGTCCAATCATGACACAGACGGTCAACACCGAAAAAATAAACATGGAAACCATTCAAAGGCAGACTCGGGTAAACATGACAAGTCTCGGACTTCACTACAAGGTGAAGTTATCAAGGATGGGTTAGTGAATGTTTTGACGGGTGAGGATTCGAAAGGAAAGTCACGATGGGAGAAGACCAGACTTGTACTCATCAGCACAAGTGGTGGGATCCTGCTGGAATTCTACTCTCCTCCAAAGGTTTGTGTTCATCTAAAAATATTCTCTGTAAAATGTAACATGCATGCTACAGCTACAAATTTGCTTCACAGAGATCTAGAGCGTTCAAAAAGAAAGTTAATACATTAATTGATCAAATAAATTGTGCTTCATTACATACACTTTCAAAATCGAGGACAAACATCAGCTGCTTGCGTGATTATGAGACATACTGTAATTCATCAGTAGTAATATCATATTTTAGTACTTTTTGTCAAGTCATAGGTCACCCACACACAAAACAATATTAAATACAAATTACCTGGTTGAAACGCTAATTAACCAAAGATTATCAACACTTAATAAAAAATCTTATTTTTATTACTAATGAATTAGAAATGTAAGTACATAGTTCCAGCAGACTCTCTGCCTTTGTGTTACAGAGTGTTAAGTGGGCATGAGTGTGTACAGGTTCTTCAAAATCTATTTTCATTCTTGGACTATAAAAGTAAAGAGTTTCATTTAAAGGAACTGAATGAAAACAAACTTTTTCATAGAGAAATTTACATTTTATCACATTTACTCCTAAATATATCCCCTCCGTTGCAGATTCATGAAAAGGCGACTAGTTTGGGACACCCGTCAGAAAAGGGGTCTTTATTCTGTGTCTCTGACAGGGGGACATTCTTTGTCTCTGACAGGGGGACATTCTGTGTCTCTGACAGGGGGACATTCTTTGTCTCTGACAGGGGGACATTATGTGTCTCTGACAAGGGGGACATTCTGTGTCTCTGACAGGGGGACATTCTGTGTCTCTGACAATTGCAACATTTGGGATTGGGATCTTTATATTTTCTTTCTGCTTCCTGAAAAAATTCTTGTTTCCTTGTGACTTGCTTGACAAATACCTTACTTTTGGCCTTATTGTAGACCATTTGTCCGATTGGGGTTAGCAATGGGTTCTGTCCCCAGGCTGGGACAACCAAAGTCCTGAAAATGATACAGTTGTTATTCCCCGCAGTGATGCTTAACATTCAGCATTTAGGGTTTTTGCAACATGTGACCAGGCCGGATACTGTACTGGCTATCTTCAGTATGGTATTTCAGTGAGGTAGCACCCTAAAGTTGCATCAGTTTGGCACTATCACAAGGAGACAATTACACCAGCACAAATACACTCATACATGCATACACAACACACATGGAGGCACGCCATTTAATGACAGTAGCTGTTGATAGGACGTTAAACCATGTACAACCAACCAACCAACCCAAAGATTCCTTGCTCCTCACCATGTGGGGAAGGGGACAACATTTTGCCCTCTAAGTGGTATAAATAAATATAATATGCATTATTAAATTTATTCAGCAATAAGTCATTCACTTGATATATAGTCGGTTTTCAAAATATGGGTGGATCCATCAGTGCAGGGAAAGTTGGATTCCATGACTCTGCTATCAGTGTCTCAAAAATCACTTCTGTCCACACTCCTTGATTTCACATTTCAAAGTGGTCTCTTGGGCATACTGAAGAATTATCACGGTATGGTAATTTGTACCGGCCTTTTTTAAACTTAAAAAGGAGTCACATTGTATGTTACCTGTGCAACAGGGAAATGCTCAGTTAACACTTTGTTCAAAGTGGTATCAGTAAATAATGTATATGATCCATGGTTTTGTTATATATATATATGACCTTCATAAAACACATTGATGACTCATAGACCGGCCCCAAACATAGCTGTTCAAGATCCCAGTCCTAATACAGGAAATAAATTCCACTGTACTTCTCCATATGTACATACAGTATGGTGTAACTTGTCATTTTTTCCTGTAGTGACATGGGCAGTAATGCAGGGAGCTCAGTTGAGCAATGGTATTGTGATTTGAGTTCCATGATTCAAATCCTGGTAGGACTGCTTGTATTTCACTGCCAGAAAAAATTACATACTATTTTGTTGATTTTTATTTTTATTTTCAATCTTCATTGTTTATCTCCTGTAAGTGTTGTGTTTTCTTTTCATAAATGATTGTCTAAGTGGTAACAAAGCTGCAGGATCTTTTTAGTGGAACAGCAATTCTTGACTATTCTTCATAGAATTCAAGATTCCATGTGTTTACATGTGTAACAGTTTCTCTCACACAAACAGGTATCTTATACTTGATACAACACAGACACGTAAAGCTGAGCTTTCCTGATACTTTTGATAATCAGTATTTGACTCTCCAAAGTGAGCTTTTACTGTGTCTATTATACCTACTGAATGGGTTGACAGAAAACAAAAACTTCTGAAGTGGAGTAGTAGCGTACATAATGTAAAAATCTTCTAAGATATTTCCCTCTTGGACTTATGCTTTTCCTGTTTTGAGAAAAAAAATGTATCACTTAGTAATGGAAGTAGCCGACGAAAGTTTGAAAAGGATGTTTTGAACAGCAACTTCATAAATCCTACATAAATCAATGTTATCTGTAATAGATTTATCATGGCTGTATTTGTGAGAGTCACATTACATGTATAGAAAAGCAGTAAAAAGGAATTCCACCTGTCCACTTGTCCTGCATGGTAATCATATACAAGCATGACAAAATAACTGTTGCAACATTTTATTTCTCCTCGTTCAATCTCTCGTTCAATCTCTGAAATCAGAACAGTACCAAGAACATTGCCAGGCAATTCTCAAATGTCAATTTCTTGATTTTTTTTTCTCTCAGGATTTCAACCTCCTTTAATATAAACAAACATGAACTAATGTGATGAACATTTTCAGTAATGTTAAGGTTAGACATGATTCCATTTTACCAATACACACCAACGGTAAGAATAGTACAAGAACAATACATACCATTGTAAAGAACAATACATATCAATGGTCAGAACAATACATATACCAATGGTCAGAACAATACATATCAATGGTCAGAACAATACATACCATTGTAAAGAACAATACATATACCAATGGTCAGAACAATATATATACCAATGGTCAGAACAATACACACCAATGGTCAGAACAATTACACACCAATGGTCAGAACAACACATATACCAATGGTCAGAACAATACACACCAATGGTCAGAACAATACATATACCAATGGTCAGAACAATACACACCAACGGTAAGAATGACCCCAGAACAATACATACCATCGTAAAGAACAATACATATACCAATGGTCACAACAATACAGATCAATGGTCAGAACAATACATACCATTGTAAAAAACAATACATATACCAATGGTCACAACAATACAGATCAATGGTCAGAACAATACATACCATTGGTCAGAACAATACATCCCATTGGTCAGAACAATACATACCATTGGTCAGAACAATACAAACCATTGGTCAGAACAATACATATCAATGGTCGGAACAATACATATACCAATGGTCAGAACAATACACACCAATGGTCAGAACAATTACACACCAATGGTCAGAACAACACATATACCAATGGTCAGAACAATACATACCAATGGTCAGAACAATACATACCATTGTAAAAAACAATACATATACCAATGGTCACAACAATACATATCAATGGTCAGAACAATACATACCATTGGTCAGAACAATACATCCCATTGGTCAGAACAATACATACCATTGGTCAGAACAATACAAACCATTGGTCAGAACAATACATATCAATGGTCAGAACAATACATACCATTGGTCAGAACAATACAAACCATTGGTCAGAACAATACATATCAATGGTCAGAACAATACATACCATTGGTCAGAACAATACAAACCATTGGTCAGAACAATACATATCAATGGTCGGAACAATACATATACCAATGGTCAGAACAATATATATACCAATGGTCAGAACAATACACACCAACGGTAAGAATGACCCCAGAACAATACATACCATCGTAAAGAACAATACATATACCAATGGTCATAACAATACATATACCAATGGTCAGAACAATACACACCAATGGTCAGAACAATTACACACCAATGGTCAGAACAACACATATACCAATGGTCAGAACAATACACACCAATGGTCAGAACAATTACACACCAATGGTCAGAACAACACATATACCCATGGTCAGAACAATACACACCAATGGTCAGAACAATACATATACCAATGGTCAGAACAATATATATACCAATGGTCAGAACAATACACACCAACGGTAAGAATGACCCCAGAACAATACATACCATCGTAAAGAACAATACATATACCAATGGTCACAACAATACATATACCAATGGTCAGAACAATACACACCAACGGTAAGAATGACACCAGAACAATACATACCATCGTAAAGAACAATACATATACCAATGGTCACAACAATACATATCAATGGTCAGAACAATACATACCATTGTAAAGAACAATACATATACCAATGGTCACAACAATACATATCAATGGTCAGAACAATACATACCATTGTAAAGAACAATACATATACCAATGGTCATAACAATACATATACCAATGGTCAGAACAATACATATACCAATGGTCAGAACAATACATACCAATGGTCAGAACAATTGTGCATATCAGAAATAAGGTCTTATAAATATAGTTGAAAAATAAATAAAAAGACAATATGGAGTAACTTCATCAAACTACGGGAAAAAAATCCTTAACCAACTGGTATCTCAAGGACACCAAACCTACATATATATTATAATATATACATAACAGTACCATAAATGCATGGTCTTTATTGTTGAATTCGCCACAGAAATTGTGATGTTCCTAGTCACTAGTGTACATGTGTAGCATCAGACAGCTGACTGTGACACTCTTGAATGAGTTTGACCCCTGGGCAGTTGACCTTGGAAGGAATGTCAGCACAATACCAGCCTATCACAACAACAGTTTACCTGTGTTTACCTGTGTACCTGGGACATCTTCGCTGTTGTTGTTGATATCCTCGTTAAAGTATAGGTGTATATATTTCTGATAAGCTGAGTCAGACTTGGTGACATTACTTGAGATCTGGAGTGCTTTCTAAGTTCTGGTGAGAAAATCACCTCATGGTGAAGGCTTTAGGTGTACAGTGCTATGATATAAAAAAAATATTGCGAATAAAAACAAGATTATCGATACCAAATATTTACATTTGCTCTGCATCCCTCCATTGTAATGCATTACGAAGGCATATGTTGTTATCAGACTATAACAACATTTGCTACTGTAATGTCATAAGTCTCTACTGTGATGCCATCAATTTCATGATTGTCAGCACTTTCTTTCCTGTTCAAAAACTGTTCGAAATAACAAAAAAAATACATAACTACGTTATCAAAATGTAAATATAAATAATGAATATTTAAGCAAATGTTGTTATGGTCCTATAACACACATTCCTATTGCTGACAAAGTTAATTGATGTAGTAACTCCCTGCCATAAGAGTGGATCCTGGTTATATAACAAAGTATTGTACTGTACGGGGAGGAACAATTTGTTGTCAATTCAGAATACTAGCTCGCAGATTGATTTCTAACTTTTTCACTAGCCCAACCAATATCTTATTGTAAATACATAAAAATGTACACTAACCCCGACACGAAGTACGCTAACCCCGACACGAAGTACGCTAACCCCGACACGAAGTACACTAACACCGACACGAAGTACGCTAACCCAGATACGAAGTGCACTAACCCCGACACGAAGTACACTAACTCCGACACAAAGTACACTAACCCCGACACGAAGTACACTTACCCCAACACAAAGTACACTAACCCCAACACGAAGTTTACTAGCCACAGGCCTCAGACTATCGAAACTGCTCACGCCTGTGACTGTTACCTGATTTACACTTCACATATTACATGTGCAAGTTAACGTATCAATTTTACTTGATAATCGTGGTATAGTGACGAATTGTGTCAGGAAGAGTATATGGTTGTTAGGAAGTTGTCTATTGACAATTGTGTTATAACTATGTCCTAAATTGACACTGTATTTACAGATTTTTTGTTCTTTCTTGCATTGTTTTTGTCATGGAACGTTTCCAAGGTACATTTCTAACAAGCATCATGATCACACTTTTCATAATAATTTTCTCAAATACTTCAAAATTTGACACAAAAATTTAAAAAAAAATACCTGAAAGATTAACTACAAAAACAATGGAAACCATGAACTGTATGGATTATGTACATATGAATAAATTTATAAGAAATATTACTTCTGTCTTGATTTCAGTCTGGGAAACCAAAAGCAGGTCTGTTCTGTTTCCTGATAACAGAGGCACGAGTTACCACGGCGTTAGAAATGCCAGATCATGAACATGCATTTGTTCTCAAGGTAGGTAAACCAAACATTGTATCTTTATTGACTGAGAAAAATATCTCAGGAGGAAATATAGGTAAACAAAACACTGTAGCTTTATTGACTGAGAAAAATATCTCAGGAGGAAATATAGGTGAACAAACACTGTAGCTTTATTGACTGAAAATATCACAGGAGGAAATATAGGTAAACCAAACACTGTATCTAGGTAAACCAAAAACTGTATCTAGGTAAACCATACACTGTATCTAGGTAAACCATACACTGTATCTAGGTAAACCAAACACTGTATCTAGGTAAACCAAACATTGTGTCTTTATTGACTGTGAAAATATCAAAGGAGGAAATATAGGTAAACCAAACACTGTATCTTTATTGACTGACAAAAATATCTCAGGAGGAAATATAGGTAAACCAAACACTATATCTTTATTGACTGAGAAAATATCTCGTGAGGAAATATTGTGTATGTAGGACAGATCTGTCATATAGATATTTCTATTGTTACACATTTATGTGTAAACAGGAAATATACTGTTACTTAGAAAGATTTACTGTCACATGTGACTCACTGTCAAAGAGAGAAAGAATTTAACAGCGGTGCATTGTGAGGTTATGTATTATGTCAATAGTCATACGAATATCTCCGGTCCTTTGAATATCTGTGTGCTGGGAATTGATTTTCTTATTCTTCTAAAACTAGAATACCATATTTATTCTATTAAATGCACCTAAAGTCGTCCCTCACCCTATGCCAGAAGAACCCTATGTCACAGGCAAATAGTGACATAATTTTGGCCTTTTGTGAATAGAGTTTTTATCTTGTCTCCAAAAAATACACCTTAATGTCATTAGACATTATCATGTACCACCACACATAATTATGCAGGCATGTTCCTTAACATACACACACAGAAACTGAGAGGTGCTGTGTAGGTCAAACAAACAGGTACATGTATAGTTAATCTATTCAAAGATCAATTATTTTCACGAGATATTAACTTCAACTTCAAAATCTGTTGTGATGTGCTGTAATTATTATGTTGATTTTCAAAATTTGCAATAGTAAGCTATGGCTATAGTTTGTTCCATTGTAGCCAATCTATTTTAATCCCACTTGTACAGGTCAAGTGTAAGACAGCTCATGAGTTATAGGGTTACATCACCAAGTGTGATATCATATTAGTATTTTAAAATGTGAATAAGCTAACTATTCCATCCTTTTTAATTCTCAGCATGAATTAAACATAATCCAAGCATGAATCAGGAATATTACATGAACTTAAAAAAATTGACAAAAAATAGATCTACTTTGTGTACAGGATATATTATAACAGGCTAACCTAGAGATCCCAGCGATAAAAAAACCCGATTGAAACATTTTATGTGTAAAGGACATTATTTCTTGTACTGTTACAAGTACATCTGTCGTAGCCTTTGCTTGCTCAAGTCCAAAATGTATTATTGACACAAAACCTTGGTTTGGTGATGGGTTTGTCATAGACAAAACCTTGGTTTGGTGATGGGTTTGTCCTAGACAAAACCTTGGTTTGGTGACGGGTTTGTCCTAGACAAAACCTTGTCTATATTTTAGGTGTCCCTAAAATGACGGGGCATATATATAGTATTACAAAGGTCAAGTATGAGTATACTTTAGACATCGTTGTATGTCAGGGATCCAAGGTCAAGGCCAAGGTCACACTTGCTATATATAGAAAATCGTCCCGTCCTGTCCCGATTCAATGTAAACACTTATCAACTTCATTCTTTGACAGATTTTGGTCAAACTTAATACAAAGGTCAAGTATGAGTATACTTCAGACATCGTTGTATTTCAGGGATCCAAGGACAAGGCCAAGGTCACACTTGCTATATATAGAAAATCATCAACTGATTCAATTTAAACACTTAGCAATTTCATTCTTTCATGGATTTTGGTCAAACTTTATGCAAAGGTCAAGTATGAGCATACTTTGGACATTGTTGTGTTTCAGGGTTCCAAGGTCAAGGCCATGGTCACTGTTGCTATATATAGAAAATCATCTACTGATTCAATTTAAACACTTAGCAACTTCATCCAATATGTTATGGAGAGGGTAACAACATACAGAAAAAACATTGGAATATTAAAATCAAATTAAAGTGTAGTACCTTGTGTGTGTGCAGGTTTCAGTGGTTGTAACTTTTTATAGAACACTGAAACTAATTTCACATGGCAGCGGGGGCATTTATGTCTTACAGACATTTTCTAGTTCTATAAGTGATTGAAAATACCAGATGATCACAAGAAAACCTTGAATTTTGAATTCGTTATAAGGGCGCTTCTCAGCTATTAGGAAATAATAATTGCCGTCACTTTTTCAAATTTATTTTGTATTAGAATGCGGGTAAATAAAGAAATTTGACAGTAATGTGTTATTTCTTAATTTCTAAGATAGCAATTACAATATGATGTTTCATTTCTCAAGGGGTCGGACTTGAAATATGTTTCACTAGTCTGATGTCAAGAATTTTCGTCGACATTTTGCTCGGGAAATTGATGGACTTGAAACATGATAAGATTTTCACTATTTAATTCTTGTGACATATGTATGGAATGACGTTTTTTTTAAATATATAAACTAGCACTTCAAACTACACATAAACAATTGATGAATTTGCTATCAAATAAAAGATATTGAAAATAGAAATTACAGCATACGCCGATTACGATGTCGGTCAAAATGACGGTCTCGCAGATCCGTTTTCAAAATGATTAATAGGTTCTCGTATGATAATTTGTTAGATTGTGTTAGGTAACAATGGTTCTATTTATCGATTTAAAATAACAAAGCTTTTCATATTGTAATGGATTAGTTATAAATTCATCATTTATTACCGATACGTCAAGTGTCGGTCAATTCCGTAATCGGCGTTCAGTCGGGTCGTTTGTACCACACGTACATATGCGGACTTTTTTAGAGGGTGCTAAAATATCCCTGAGACCAAGTTATGTGTACTACGTCAGCGATTCCAGCACATTCACACCGGAGAGGGAAACATGAAGGTAGGTTTGGCGTAGGTCAACTAATTGTGTCAAGTAATTGCCGTCATGGATAAATAACGATGCATGTTGGAGCTATTTATGAAATGCTTACATAGTTTACAAGTTAATGATGGCAATTGGATGCATTCACGGATTCAATTAATAGAAAATACTCGCATTTTCTCGCAAGTTTCATGTGGATTCCAGTGAAATCCGTGTTCGTCAATTACGTTTGACACCAGTTTTTTTAACGGCGATTATGTATTGACACAAAATAATTTGACAAGTAATTGCCGTGTATGCTTTCTGTGTGTAAATGATATCGGCGTATTCCTAATCGTAGATGAATTAAAGCGATCTGAAGATGGTTTATCTGACATTCTAAGCTGCATAATTGTAATGTGTACATCACATACGAACGATAATATTTTGTTTATTTTCGTGCGGAGATTATGCCTTGACAGTATACGTTGCGAACCCAGGCGTCGAAGCATGCAGCCAGATATGTCAATAATAATTGCCAAACACCAATATACTTTGAACAAAAATGTATCACTTTAATGAATCATTGAATTAAAATGAAGACGAACCACATACTTGTCATTATTGGATTATCATATCTAGTTGCATGTTTGGGAAATATTTAATCAGATTTTTGGTTTTTAGTTCGGCAGTTATATTGACATTGATTTTCCTGTCAAATATAATCTCCATATATTAATAATTATGTCAATCGTAATCTCCATTATTCACACAGGCCTTACTTGTTCAGGTTAAAATAAAATATCTAGATAGAACATGATTGGATTTCGGTTACAAGATTTGTGAATATAATGTAGAGTAAATACTGTGTGAGAGTACTTAAATTTTATGTTCAGTAAATATTACCAAAAAGTGGTTCGCTATTATTTTGACATCATGGTATCATGTCAAAAGTAATCTCCAATTAATTTTTGGTGGTAATTATTAAAAAATAATGCACACTTTTCATTATATTTTTTCCTGCGATTATGTTTGTTGAAATATTGTTGAAAGAACAGGTTGTCAATGGACTAAATTTAATAATTGGCTTATAAATGTTTAATTTAGGTTACAAGATAATTTAAATCAATTTCTTTATATGGTAATTATGTTTGACAAAGACTACAGTGTGCCAAGAGGGGGTGGGGGTGGCGGGACCCCTCAAAATTTTATAATCTAAATTTCAAAATCTTTAAAAGTTACCAAATTTGGCCCCTTCATCTTCAAAACCAGTAAAAACCCCTGTAGTTTAATTGTAAAAAACTTATGACAGCATATATCTTTCATTTTCCTTCAGATACTGTTATTTGTGTTTTAAAATTTGTGAAACCAAATAATTGCAGTGTTGTACCTGGAAGTTATTTTCATGAGGTAAAATTTCGATATATATTTTTTGCAGAATATCCCTGTTCTCCGTGCTCGCACGCCAAAGAAAAAAGACGACGCCACAGTACAGAATAAACTTACTGCAGCTGAAAGAGCTAAACGGTAAAGTAACTAACTGTTATACAATAATGTTAAAAAAAAA